ATAGACTAAAGTACAAAGCTGTGAAAATCATTAATAGGCAATCGTTCGATGGGCTGAATTGCACAAGACACATGATCGCACCGGCTAGATACGCGTTACTATTTATTAGATCTTAATTCTGTGTATAGTACCTTTCTGCTGTCGATTTTAGGCATGGCCTGAATGTAAATCTGAGGTTCTGGGTTGAAACACAAAAAGAACTAAAACTTGGCCGTAGGTTTGTGTCTCTGTAGGTAGTGGAGGAGGGCGGAAGGAGCAAATTCCTAAAACTGCAGTTTCCCTCTTAAATATTTCTGAAATTGAATTACTTTTCTTTTGTACTTCGGCGTTGAATTATCCGAATATCAGAGGGGAGGGCAGACTTGGGGGGCTGACACTCTTTTTCACGCGCGGATATGATGGCACGATAGCGTGTTCAATACGCACCAAAAAACGGGTGTTTGCGTCCGGTCTTTGATGCACGGCGTTATTTATTATCATAGTTTAACTCTAGAATAACAATAATTTTTCAAAAGTTCGCTCGGTTTTGCATGCATATGGAATTCAGGAAAGCCAAGAGTAAAACCAATGGAGAATATGACCCGAACTCGTGGTGATACCATCGAATTGGTATGCGAATTTAGTGGCGATGGCGAAGTAAAGACAAAATGGTTACATCTTGGTCAGCAGTGGTCTGTCCGGCGAACGAATGGAGAAAAACGGATTTCTGACTTTAATTCCAGTTCACAGAATGCGATAGGCAGCAGTATTTCTGATGGCTCCACTAATAACGAAGTTCATCTGCTTTAACTTTTATTTTCATGCATCTCTGCAACAGTTAAATAATATTTTGCTTATTAAAGTATTAAGTCATTTACTTTGAGCCACTGGACAAATTTACAGTTCTTCTACTTCCTAGTTTTTAAGGACATTGCAGGACTGTTTTCGAATTTTTTGAAAAAGCTTCTTGAATTTGTATAGACTTTCAATGGCTCCAGACATTCCCGAATGTTTGTTTTTGTTAGATTTCCGTAATTTGCCCTAGTGAAGTATACCAACACTTTCAGGATAGTCGCATAACCGTGCGAGAAACAGACGGTGTTGTCACACTGACAGTATCAGCAATTGATGAGGACGATGCTGGTCAGTACCAATGCGTGGCTGAAAATGAGGCTGGTTTTGATCAGGATTCCATATTTCTTTCTATTATTCGTAAGTTTTAAACTGTATTGCATGCTTATTGTGCATTCTCAGCCCGGCTGTGTAAAGTTTTATCACGGCTTGCTTTCACTTATGTTTCTGCTTTAATTTTGTTTACTTATTTTTGTGCTTTAACTCTATTTCTGTTTTAATTCTTTTAGTTATCCGCAAATTTCACATTACATCTCGTTCTCTGGAAAATTCCTATGGCCATGAGTAAGACGTAACTAAAGAATGTATTGAAGTGTCTTGGTCTGCTTCGTTCTGCGGGTTCAGATTTTTTTTTT